TTCGGCATCTTGTGCTTACTTCCTTGAGTACGGATGACAGCTGCGTATGACTCAATTTCTTTTCTGGTGTTCACTTCCAGCGACAGTGGTAAGCACTGTGTAACTGCCTCGAGGGTTNCGGGTCCTCACCGGACCAGGCTCTCACATCACCAAGCGCGAAGCGCCGCGGGATGTTCGGCAAGTCGCATGAAGGGTGCACTGTATCCTGCTAAGGGTGTTCAGCATCTTGTGCTTACTTCCTTGAGTACGGATGACAGCTGCGTATGACTCAATTTCTTTTCTGGTGTTCACTTCCAGCGACAGTGGTAAGCACTGTGTAACTGCCTCGAGGGTTCTTGACCAATCTAACACAACGTGGTGCGATCATCCCCTTTGCGCGGAGTGAGGCTTCTCCACCCCGCACAACATGATCCACTTGACCACCATTATGGTTACCGCCAAAAAAAAAAGAGGTAAAAAAAAAAAACAACCTGGTTGCCGGGTTCACGAAGTAAATTGGCTTGTCTTAAAACTTGGTTGCCAAGCGACGAAAACCCAATCCCGATGGCAAACACCTGTGGGGGGACTTGTTTCACAACGTCGTTGCCAAGCGACGAAACCCCAACCCCAATGACAAACACCGGGGGAGGCGGCTTGTTTTACAACGTCGTTGCCAAGCGACGAAAACCCAACCCCGATGGTAAACACCGGGGAGAGGCGCTGGTGGTGGCCAAAATACCTAGATCACCGGTTCACCTTTGTTGGGCTCTGTGGAAGAGGGAGAGAGAGAGTGAGAGGGAGAGATCAACGCGATGCTTTGCTTCCGCGAAACCGGGGGCGCTTGTCTATCGGTCACGCTTCTACCCCTCCCCGCCCCTCGCGACTGATGCCTTCCGTGCTGAACGCAGGGTGCGCCACGATGAGCCCCCATGCGGCGATAGGCGTATCATTCGTGTCGGCGTTGCTCTACCACGTGTCGTATCGCGGGTTCATCTGCCGGAAGATTGACGACGCTGTGTCGGCTGGAGCGGTGCACCTGGTTTGCGGTGCTTGGGGCGTCTTTGCAGCCGGAATAACCGGCATGGAAGGCCCCCGCCAGGATGCAGGTTACCCACCACAGGCCTTGTGCAGCAGGGAGGTGCAAATCGGGCTGAACGCGCTCATGGTGGCCATTATTGCTCTATATGTGAGGCGGATGACACGGCCAATCACACTTAGCGTTGCCGAAAGCTGATCGTGATTGCTACCGACATATTTCCCGGATTGGCCGTGGAAACTCGTGGTTACCTGGGACTTTTCAAGTCATGTGCCTTGATAGTGACAAGTGTAGTCTATGCATTTTATGTTCCGACGACCCCAACCTTTCCGATTGCATGTGCAAGCAGTCTCCGCGTGCTTGTCCTCGTGGCTAAAACAACACCGCACAGGCCTACATTTGCACATTTTTCCTTTGGGCGATCCTCCGAGGTTGTCGCCTGGTGGATCAGGCCGAACAGGGCGTCGTGCTCGCCAAGGAAGAAGGCGGCAAGTTCACGGAGTTCAAGAACAAGGTTTCCACTCACTTCCAGCAGGAAAACAAAAGGTTTAAAAAGGTCGAAGAACAACTGACCAGCCAGAATCAGCTTGGGATCAATTTCAGGGCCACTCTCGACGAGAGGTTTGAGCAGCTGGCGAACCGCATGGCCGAGCTTGAACGCACCTACGGGGCAACTCGAACCCCCACTCTTGGAGCTCCGGTGAGGTGGTCAGTTGGCCGAGAACGTCTGCGTAGTAGGTGTTAGAGAAAGAGCGTAAAATGGACGTAGAAAATAATGGAAATGCATTGGTTTTGAAACATACAGAGACAGCTCGTCCCCAACTACAGTTACCATCATTGTGTTGGGGCGGTAGCGGGTCCATTTTCCGCCATCGGTGAGCACAACTGACAGCCTGCACGTATTTTCGGGGTCCCACCTATTCCCTTTCGGCACGCGGCCCCGTCTCGTTGCCCCGTTTGTGTCACTCTCGAAACACAGACCTCCACAACGCAGTGCCCCATCCAACCAGCCGCGGTCATCGACAGTCAGGAAAGCACTGAGACGCTCAGGCCTCATCACCAGCAGCAAAGCGTGGCGGCCTCCCAACCGACGGCGACTGCTCAGCGTGGAGGCATGTAAGGCGCTTCAACTGCTGTTTTTTATTTACTCACGGCTCTGCGATTTCTGAAGCGCAACATGAGCAAATGAATTCGCCTCGCAGGCCGGCGGAAATAGGAAACGCGGGGTACTTGCCTGCCCCCTTGTTTTTCGTGGTTTTCGGGGACGACGAGTGGTCGAACGTCCCATAGATGTCGCTACGTGAAGCAGCCCCACTCCATGCACTTACGTTCATCGTGTCGATTTTTAATGTTCCTGTAGTAGAGCAAAATTGTCCACGCAGAGGTAGTTTTTTCGCTAAGTATCTCACCTCACGCGGACCACAGACCCACGTTGAGGTACACATCGTTGAAGCACAAACGCCGTTGACGTACGCGGAGTTGAAGTGCGCGGTACGGTCACGAGGGTGTCTCACCCACATCGAACACTTCGCAACCGGGTCCCTTTCTGTGGTTGAATCAATTTTTTGGTGATGGTGTTTAAACGGTCTCTACACGGCAGCCACCTTGCTTGGTGCCATCTTCTGAGCAGAAACTAACCGGTACAAGATCGTAACTTCTGGCTACGCTCCCATGGCCGTTGGAGACAGGTTCGAGCAGGTCAAGAGATTTTTTGGCAGCACCGCGTGAGCTGGGACTGCAGCGTTCGAACGAACGCCGTCAACTCAAGCAGCTCCGTCAGCCGGTTGCAGCCTCACTACCCTGTTTCGGGAGACGCAACCAAGCGATAACGTGATGTTTCCTTGTCGTCCTCGAACGAGATTGGGGGCTCAAACTGCCTCTCTGCGGAGAACCGGTCAGCGTTGTACACGCGACGATCTCATGGCGTCCATGCCTTTGTTGTGCAAAATGTTTTGAATTGGGGAGGTTCCTCGTGCGTCGATCGCAAGCATGAACGGATGCCTATTTCGTATCCTCGAGGGGTGGTTGGAAGAGCTAGGAATGAGATGTCGGCAGTGCCATGATTCACAAAAGTATGGTGCCCGCGGCGGGGTGTTGCATGGAAGGGGTTGAAAACAAATGTTTTGGTGCAGAGCAGGGGAGGCACGATTCGCGTGCTTGACAAATCAACGGAGGTTTCGTTCTGTTCGTCTACGTCGTGTTTGATAATATTTGCGGGCTTCCGTTGAACGCCGTGCAGCCGTTTCGTAGCTCTTGATGAGTCGGAGCCCGAAACTATGCATCGCTGAAGTAGCACTTTGTGGAGACAACGAAACTTCACCATACCGCACGTACGGTTTACCGCAGTAAAACCACGATAATTCCGTTTCATGTGATCCCCCGAAAATGATAAATATTACCGTTCCCATCCAAATCGGGATTGAGTTTTCGTCGCTTGGCAACGACGTTGTAAAACAAGCCAATTCACTTCGTGAACTCGGCACAACCAGGTTACCGGTTTTTTTTTTCACCTCTGTTTTTTTTTTGGCGGTAACCAGAAGGGTGGTCGAGTAGATCATGTTGTGCGGGGTGGAGAAGCCTCACTCCGCGCAAGGGGGATGATCGCACCACGTTGTGTTAAA